TGAGAGAGAGGAAGACTGATGATTTTTTCTTTCTGCATCATGTGATTCATTTTCTAGTCCAGTGCAAGGATGCAGTCTTTGTTGAATAATAAAAAAAAAAAGCCCATTTTCTTTCTACTTCTCCTTAGAGAGACCAAAATGCTTATTAATACAGCCTGCATAAGTTTGTAACTCTGCATTTTATTGACTACATGAATGCAAAATAACTCATAGCAAGAGCAGCACTTGTATTTTGAGCAAATCCAGGAGGTTTTATCCTATGTCATCACAAGTTTAGGCTTTTCTGTAGTATCAGCTTCCATTTGTTACATGTGATTTTAYAGTAAGTTGTAAGTTTTATATAAATGTGTTAAGAGGAGGACAAAGTGATTTCCCTGTGACTGGTGTGTATAAATATGACACACCAGTAAGAGTGTAGCTGTGAGCACAGTGTGTGTTAGGACAAGTGTCCTTGGGTTTACGTGGCAGTCCTGTGAAGTGGCTGCCCCATTGAGCAGCGTGCAGCCTTCCAATGATAGGGTTTCCCTCCAGCCAGACAAAGCTGCAAACTTGTCTAAACTGTCCTTGTGTGAGTTGCTTCTGGCATGCAGTTAGAATTTAATCCCCAGAGTTCTGTATTCTGGGCAGAATTTTGTATAGCAGTCGATTATGTTGCACATTTTATAGCATTGCACTCCCTTTTCCTTCTGTCCTTTTGAGTAGGGCCTAACTCTCATGTTAAGGCTCTTAATTCTGTCCTGCTACTCATATTTGCATTGCCAGACTAATGTGAAAGTGGCGTGTGATGTGAATGGAAAAAACATACAGTTGTGTYAAGATTCCTGTACTTGTAGTGGGGAAAGAGATTTATGGCTTCTCAACTATCGTTACTTAGAGCCTCAAAAAGAATTATTTTTGCAAATTAAAATTCTACTAAAAGAATCCTGTCTTGTAGCAGGGAGAATAAAAAAACCTCAACAAACCAGCTAATTGAAAATCATAAATTGAAAGTCAGGTTGTCATTGGATGCATATCAAATACAAGTTTTTTTTTTTTTATATCCAGTGTGACATCTGTTTTCCACCMGCATCTTCTTATTTGCTGCATTTAACTAGCTCATCATTCTTCTTTTTTTCCTCTCTTTTATTATTTTATGCACTGTATTTGGCATAATCGCAACTCTCATTCTCCTGCTGCTTAATCAAAGTCTTCAAGGAATATTTCCTGAGGCGACTTTGCACTTCATCTTTGACTTCAGCAATTGTCACAATGCATAATGCCAATGGCCAATGCTAAACTACAGGCGTTGTTTCATGGTTACTGTAAGAATTCATTATATGCTGTAAAAAATGCAGATCCTAAATGGTAAGAGTGCATTTAGCATAGTGTATTTGAGGATGGCAATGCTCAGAGTTGGAGTCTAAGTGTATCAGCACTTGTGCATATTGTTCAATTATAAATTTCATTTGCAATGTATCTTAGAGTCTGTCTTCATATTAAAGTGCTTTTAATGTCTATTATGAAGTTGCAGTGCTGGGTAATGTAATTTCATCCAGATCTACTTCTTCCAGAGGGAATGTTAACTGGCCTGAGCCCCAGCTCATGGTTCTGGAAGTTGGAGGGTATTGTATGCAATAGGCKTTAGTGAGATTTTGGTTACAAAGCATGTGCCAGGCACAGGCTGTTATAAATAAAAGGAAAATAAATCCTTGTAATTTGATTCTTTCCCTTGGAGTGTTTTGTTCTTTAAAAAGCATATAGTGAAAAAAAAACTATATATTTTATTCCTCATGTTCAAATAATGTGTTTTTACCTTGAGCATCATCAGTTTTGCTGTTTGTGTAACAACTTTTCTTTAAACTGATTTGTATATATAAGAATTCTAGAAAAGGGTGTTCAATTTTCATTTCCTGCATGTCACAGAAAAAATAACAACAGAGATTCAAAAATCTCAGAATAAAAATTTTATTTTTATTTTTTTTGAAAACCTCATGGGAAGGGAACAAGGAAATGTAAATGTTGAAAACTTTGGTTTGGTAATGTCATTGTCAATGTCGTTCCTCCCACATGTTTTTTTGCCCTTGCAATTGCTGCCGTCGAGATGGGACCTTTGGCCGGTGGAGAAGGTGGGTTCTGCTCCTGGCCTTGTCCCCTGCAGGCTTGAGAGAAGTCAGGGTGGAGGGGGAGCTGCCCCACAAAGACGCTGAATATTTGGGAAAATGAATTACAGCTATTTTTTGACAAGCAAAGTGAAGACAGATGTATCACTTTCAGAGTTTGTTTTACTTAAAAATTAATTTAAATACATCTGAATGAATTGGGGCATCTTAGAGAGAAGGTGGGAGCTTCACTGGATGGAGTCATAGATTTTTCTGCCAGAAGGATGGTCTTGACTTAATGTGCTTCTGCTCTAGCTGAACTCTCTCCCAAACTGGTGAGAGTTGAAGGATTTTAACTGATTTAAACGAGAGTTATCCACGCTTTTAGATTCAACTGTGGTCACATTCCATAAATGAAGCGAAGGCTTTTAAGAATAGAGTACATTTAGGAACGGAGGAAGCTTTGGTAGAGATCCCAGTGGATTTCTTTAAATAACGTACTTGAAACCTCACTGAAATGGATTTTTGAACTTGTGATGCCCGTAGTTATCAAGTTCCAGCTCTGCGGCACCAGCAGTGGGGGGACACTTCAGTAGCGCGGCGGCAGCAGCGCCGYGGAAGAGAAGAGAAGGAGACAGTGAGCAGGGGGGCTCCTCTCCGTGGGCTTCCTCTGTACTGAGCGGGAGTGCTGATCACGGAGGAGGGACTTCGGGGGCTCTGATCCCGCAGCAGAGCCTTCCCAAGGCTGCGCGGGCGGCGCGCCGAGACGCTGCTCTCTGGGGCACCGCTGCAGCCAGGCTGCCCGGCTGGAGGAGACCTCCTGCGTGCGCTGGTGCCGCTGCACCCGCCAGCCTGACCGCAGCGACGCCGCATCTCAATAAGTCTCTCTTTGRCATTAGCTGTGCTTTTCTAATTATAGGATCAATTATTAATGTTCTAAAAAGTATTTTCMTATATATATATATATTTTAAACATTATTCCTAACCCTGCCCTACCAAAAGTTAAGTTTCAACAAGATAGTAAGATAGTTGCAATAGGAAGAAAGTTAATTTATATTATCCTGTACTGATGCTATTCCATGCCAAACAGCTTCTATTTAGGGAGGAAACAAAAACTGGCATCATAAATAGATTTGTTAAAATTTAGTGATGTAGAGATGATGACAACAGCTATAATGCTGATAATTTTATTGAAAGGTATTTTGTTGAAAATGGTCAAACCCAAATGTTGAAGACATGAGGAGAAACAATTCTCTCTTGTAGTGCTTCATTATTCTTGTTACATTTTCTTGCTAAGTAAAACTGTTATTTTGAAAACCGTGATTGTTGCAGATTAAAAACAGCTGATGGAACTGAATTTGAGTACTATTGCTAATACTATTATACAGATGCGAAATTCCACATCCAAGTAAGAGGCAAGTGCTGCCTTTGGTTGAGACACCTAGTGCTGATGAATTGCAGCTGGCAGCTGCTTTTTTGGGGGAACACATCTGGAAGAGAACGCACCTTTTCTAAGACAGTCTAAAGTTAAATCATTCCCTGAAAGCCACTTTCAAGTTCTAGGTCAGTTTCCAAATAYGCTAGATCAAAACATGTGCCTTTCTAATAAAAATATTTGTGAAACAACAGGTATACATATTAATGAAAACCCGGTATATACTGAGAAAAGGCTACTGAAACAATTGGCTTGCAATAATGAATTATGGAATATCGTAATAAATCCTTTTTTGGATAGCTACTATACATGTTACTTAGAAGCTTGGATTCTTCTTTTTGCATAGAACATGTTGCTGCATGCCCCCCGTTTCATGGCCCCTTCACACGGTCCTACTACTGCTCACCCAAAGTATGGAAAACATCACTTCGAGTGATCTTTGCCAATAAATGTGGGTTTGGGTTTCCAATTGCTGGCTCATCCTCCCGTTGGGAGGCCTCGCTTTCCATGATGGGAAGAGATGGATGGATGGGAGGCCTCGCTTTACAGAGGCTGGAAGGCAGTTTTGTCAGAGGAGCTTTCACTGCGATTAATCCGCCCCATAAATGCTCCAAAATCAAGGGAAGTGGAGCCCTGCTCTTACCTTGTGAATGAAATGGAAATTCCCTCTGTAGTCTTCAGCAACAATCAGAAAAAAAACCCAGCTACCTATATCTTATATCACCAAGGCCCTCCCAAATATTTAGGCATGTCCTTTGGGAGAACCAGAAGTAAGAAAGATTTCTGCATTTACCTTTCAGGAAAAACACTGAGAGAACAGGGTGTTGATGAAATTTATAAAAATCTGTGGTGTATAATTTGCTAATTCTGCCTGTTTTTTTTCCCCGTCCCCCTGCATCAAGCAGTTTAAAATCAGAAGCACCCAAATCCTGCAGTAAATGCCACGCAAATGAGCTGATGGACCTCTGCAGCGTTTGGCAGGGGGAGCTGCCTGAACGAAGCAGTCTCACACTCAGAGCTTTTCTAGGAAAATGGGATATACTGAGAATTATTACCCTACCCTTTTCTTTATGTGTCAAGTTATGCTGTTAATTTTAAGAGAGCATAAATTGAGGGAGTGATAAGTACTGGTGTAGTTTGCATAGGAATCTCCTAATCTTCTTAACGGGATTTGACAAGAACATTAATGCTTATTAGTATCTGTCAGCAATAGCACAGTAAAAATATATATATGTAAAATATATATACATGTGTGAAAATGTTACTTGAAGGGTTTCAAAAGAGAGCTATTGTARTTGATCGTGGTTTAAAGTGATAAAAGACGACCATAAACACTGAGATCATTATTCTCAGCTGTAGTTAATAAGGGGAAAAACTGTCTTATAAGTGAGAAGAGGGATTTAATCCCACCTGGACTTGATTTAGTAAGAAAATGGAGAGTGAGAGAGACAATATAAGTAGAACCTGTAGCCTATGTGTTTTCTTAGGTAWAAAGGCTTAAGTTGGTACCATCTTTGAGTCTGAGGCAGAATCAGTAAGAAATTCTTGTTAAAAGCTCTATTTATAGTGTGAGTATAACAATGTTAAGGATAATATGATACTGATTGTAAGTATGTTACCTTAACCTTTGCTTGTTGTTAGTTATATAATTTTTGAAGACCTCATCCATTGAATAAATAAATGTATGTCATGTTAACTAGTAGTGTTTCATTGACTGATAGGATCAATTGTTTATTGTTCTGTGACTCCTGTACCTGAAATTTCAACTTAATCTCTTAAGAAAAGTGTTTCCTTAGCTGCTGGTTAGAGCTTGGTGTATTATGAAATATTCTAATAGTGCCAGTTAGTGGTTGTTTACCTGCTGATTCACCATGTTTGATAATCATGTTTAAAATAAGTGAATTAATTTAGTAAAATATTAGTTTCATAAGGATATTTTAATTTTATGAGCTCCTGGTCTATGTGCTACCTTATTGGAAGGAATTCTACAATTCTGTCTTTTGCTATTGTTTCTGAAAACGCTTTTTAAAATGTAATTCCTTTTTGAATTTAAAATGTTTTCCTTTATTTTTATCCAGGAACACTTTTTTTTTTTCCCTAAAGGAAGGCAAATAGGTTACAAACTTATATATATTACTTGCTTATGGAATTCTGTTGGCTTTTATTTCATTCATGATCGTGCATCAACTTTCCCAATATTTTTAACTGCACCTTACCATAGGTATCTTGTCCTAGCTCCATTTATTTTTAGAATTTGTCTGTCTGTCTGTCTGCTGTCATTTTTTAGAAGGTAGGTTAAAATTCTTTGTCCTTGTCAGTGAACAATTCTGAGGACTCTTATCTTGCTTGTGTGCATAACTTTTCCAATGCTGAAAGRAAGTGTAAGATATTGAAAGAGAATGTGCTCGTTAGCACTCTCATTCTTGCTTGCAGGTGAGGAAAGAGAACTGAGCACTCAAGTTTGTGTCCAGTTACCTGTCAGAGAGAYGGATGGAAGGGGATGGAAGCCTTTCTTTTAGCCAAATAGAAGGCTGCTATTTTGAGCAGTAGTTCTGCAGGCTTTTTGTATGTTTAGTTGTCTCAATGCAAAGCATTATACCCGTATCAATGTATAGCTACGTGTTTATAATCCTAAGCCCTTTAGGATAAGGCCTGTAGCATTGCATCTGCTTACACAGTTTTTGCTGCAGGAGGGTTTTGGTGCTGAAGGGAGTTTCTGAAAACTGCCTGTCCTAAAATGATAACAACTCTGCTCCTACTGACAACTGCCAGTGCGATGTTTTGTTTCATTGTGTAGTTACAAAAGGCATTTTAACTGGTTTGTGCATTGCTGCTGGGGGGAATATGCCACCGCTTGTTGGAGTGGTGGTGCAGGTAGGGAGATGCTTCTGGTCAAGTCCTTGAGAGCTGCTCTCCTTTGTCTTCTTGCAGGCCTCTGGAGCGTTCCAGTGAAGATGTGGATATAATATTCACCCGACTGAAGGAAGTGAAAGCCTTTGAGAAATTTCATCCAAACCTTCTCCAACAGATATGTCTCTGTGGATATTATGAAAATCTGGAAAAGGGAATCACATGTAAGGCAACTTCATGTGAAGATCTATTTTGCATAGATGATGTTGGGGTTTAAGCTGGGTTTGTCTCTAGGAGATTGATGAGAGAACCAAGCTAGTGGACTAGTCATAAAAATGTTTACAGTCTTAGTCATGGGCGAAGGCAGGTCTAAAGTGCTCCTAGCTCCACAAATACAGTTGGTGGTGGCTCTATGGCAACAAAGCCTATGTCACTGGATTTAGGACCCTACCACTCTTTTACTGAAAGATTAGAAGCAAGTTACTGCCCTTAAGCCTCATTTTTTCCCCTATAAAAGTGTTATCTGCTTTTTTTGGGTGCCCTGTGATGTCAGGGGCAAGAGTGCAATCTGTTGCCTGGGCAGATTGCTGGCAGTATGTATGGTTTGCAGTCACTCTGGATAACGCAGGACAGACCTACGGAGCTGCATCCTCCTGTGGGATATAACAGCTCTGTGCCTGCCCTGGCAGCCCCTGTGCCAAGTGAAGCTGGAAGGCTGTGCTTGTTCACAATACACTTGGAAATAAGTGGGAATGGGAATCTGAGTTCTCAGTGCTGGGCCAGGGGAATGGCTGATGGAGACCTGATGTAAGTGTTTTTTTTTGATAAAGTCTCTGGACCTCCTSTGGTAGTTTTGGCATGCTTTAGGCACCCAGGATGGGAGCTTATTTTGAGTAACAGGAGTTCTGATAGTAATCACAGAGCTGAAATGTCTCAATATCCAAGTCCTGCAGCTGTTTCTCAGCCAGGATTCTTACCAAAGTCGGTGGGTTCCGTATTGGCATGGGAACAGTCAGAATATCAAAGCAAAAACACTCAGAAAGTATTTATTTCTTAGYAAAGGTGGGGGTGAAGGAGGAGCAAAGTGTGGAGATGGGTGAAGCAATGCTGGGTGCTTTCACACACCATGGCTAGTCTCTGGATCAATGTACTAAAATAGGTCCTGAGCCTTGCGTGTGTTATCAAACAAGTAAATAATCTGATGTGGCAAGCTTGGCAATGCCAGCAGCAGCTACAGAAATACAATGATCTGAATTTAAAATGTTTGTTAAAGATCAATTTAAGAGTCAAAGTTTTATTTACAGTGTTTGTCTTTCCAGTATTTCGTCAGGGTGATATTGGGACGAACTGGTATGCTGTTCTCACAGGATCACTGGATGTTAAAGTTTCTGATACAAGCAACCATCAGGTAAAATACAACTTTATTTTTTCTTTTAAAATCAAAGTTGTAGTACAAACAAAGGCTGTAGATTATATCTGGGTATGGCACAATGGCATATATTGTACTAATTTTCTTATCACAAGCCTATTTTTTCCTTCAGACTTGCTTGTCTTTTGTCTACAGAGACAAATCATACCACTGATTTTAAGAAAACTGAAATGTAATGCAATGAAAAGGACTCTATCTGAATATGAAATAGGATACTGTGCTCATAGATTCTTTATGAAATATAGCTAAACATCTGAGTTTTTAAATTATTTTTCTGGAATTTAATTAAATACTTTATTAAATTAAATAATAAACTAAACATTTAATTTAATTATTTCTCTGGAAATATTAGCTGCTGTTCTAAAAGCTTAAACCAACAGTGCAGTCTGATAGCAGCAGACTGCAGTTTCCACAGTAAAATGACAAATGGCTGTTAGTTAGACCACAAAACYAGAGGTATTATCCCACATAAACTAGAAAACAAGGAAATGTCCCCAAACTTGTAAGATATTTGTCAGTAATTTGGCACTTCTAAAATAAAGTTGTTCAGGAAAATTAATCAGATTATTCTCCTGGGGAGTAATTAAACAACTGAATTGTATTATTCTGTTCCTTCATGTATTGTGACAAGTTACCTATGGGCTTTAGTCTTGTTTTGCTTAGTGAAAATTTGATCTGTGAGGCTGCAGAATCTGTGCAGTGTGCAAGGACGTGCACTTCTAGGCAGCCTGACAAGTGACCTCAGTGCTTTTTAGCCTTGAATGAAGTGTTTCCATGGTGTTTGTGGGATGTAGGGAAGTGCTAGGAATGCTTTCAGGAGCTCCGTGGTGGCTTCACTCTTGCAGGCACCGTGGGTCAGGCTGGCTTAGGAACCGTTGCTGCTACCGGTGGCATGGCCACCCCTCAGGTGTTTGCTGAGCTCTTGGCCAGGCACTGGCACGAAGCTGACTCCCACTGACTGCAGAGCTCAGCAGGGGCCCAAACCTTGGGAAACGCTCTGCAGGCTAAGAGCAGCTTTCTGGATTTACACAGCTCTATTTTGAGAGTTACAAGATGCTGTGGTACAACAAGGTGCCCATGCTGGGTTTGCTCATAAAGGTATTAAAAGCCTGAAGCAGCTGAGGGCTTTCCAGTGTAACAAGAAGGTTTTAGACCCCTGCATTCCCCCACTTTATTCCTAGGTCATGTTCCCCTAATGTAGGGCTGACAAGGGACAGGCTCCCTGCTGTGTAAGCAGGGCAGCTGGGTCTCCTGGTTAGACAGTCCTTTGCACCGTGTCCTGTACCTGCTCCCTCGTCTGAGGTTGTCAGGTGCTTCCAACATCTGAGTCCTTACACCTTCATTACAGGTGTAGCTACCTAGAACTGCTTTTCCCTACCCTTCTTCTGTGAATATAGCATGGGTGTGTACATATGTACAGTGGTGAGTCTTAATTCTTTACCTGAGGTTCAGCTGCTCAGATAAGTCTTTTCTTGCAGCAGTTTGCAAAAAAAATCCATARTTTCKGCCATACAATCTGCAGTGAAACTGGGTCAGAATGCAAGCCAGAGCAGGCTGTGTGTGCTGGGTTTTTTGCTTTTTACAACAAAATGATGGAATTTAAAAGGAACTTCTTTCATATCATTTTTAGCAACCTCTTCACTATAAGTAGAGATTGGTAGAGAGTGTAATTAGTCTAAGCTGAGCAGTCCTCAGAGTGGTCTGGCTGCTGGTGGTATTGTCATGATTTAGAACAGTACTCTTGAGACCCTTTTTTGTGCAGACTTAGCAGAAAAAAATACCCAATTTCTTTATTTGCCAAGAGATGGCACTACACCATTGCTGAGGACAAGTTTCTCTACTGAATCAGAAAAATTTCCACAGAAGCTTTCAGGATGGTGAGGCTAAATGAACATTCTGTTTGAAGTTTTGGTCCATTATATGGAGGATAGAAGGGTTCAGATATTTAAGAAGTCTTGTGTGTATACACACAGTTTTTTCTTCTCATCTGGAGTTGTTGCATTTCCCTGCCAGGAGGCAGGTAGCTCTACTGATTCACACAGTCCGTTCTGCTGCATGATTTCTAAATAGGTTTCCTTCTCACAGGAAGAACTGATTTCTTACCATTGCCTAAGATACAAATTCACTGCTGGAAGAAGAGCAGTTCATGCATTCAGTGCACAAGTGCTGGAGACGGTGGGTGGGAACTCATRAGTAATATTTGAGCCCAGTGTTTTCTAATTTTTGCTCCATTTTGGTGTTTGTACAGTATCCTTCTTGGTTTCTTGTTCCTTGTTCTTCCTTTAGCTCATGGGTGCCTAGTTCCAGGCTTGCCTGAGCTTCCTTCTTGCCACAATGATCATCCCTCTTAAGCTCCAAATACGTGCTCTGGTGAGTGCTGTACTTCAGCACTCATTGCAAGCCTGGATAATGGAGAATCTAGTGTAGCCCCACAGGCAGGCAGTCCTGACAGTTGTCTGCACTGTGCTCCTAAGCTAAGAATAGATGACCAGTGTTCCAGATGTAATGCTGGTAACCTACCCTGGGGCATGTTTTCCATTAACAGCTTCCAGGAGCCAAAGCTTTTTTTTTTTTTTGGCCAAGCCATGGTAATGATTAACTGATCTGCAGTTAATTTATTATATGATGAACAGCAGTAAAGTAAGGCTAATTATTAACTTCAAGCCTGTCCTGTCTACCATGCTATGAAGATCCTATTTGCAAAATTTTGAAGGACATTGAGGTAGGATTGGGGGTTCCCCAAAAAGTGTTGTTTCCAGATGCTAGGCCTGGGAATTGGAGATGGRATGGATATAGTAACTGACCTGATTTTTTTTTTTTTTTTTTCCCCTAGTTGTGTAACTGAATAGAGTCCCCAGGGCTGACATTTTTGGTAGAATCTGAGTGATAAGGTGAAGGACTCTACATAGTTGCAGTATGCCCAGTATATAATAAACATTTCTCAGCACTTACGAGAATGTTTTCCTGAAAGAGTTTCAAATATTTGATGGGAATTCATCTGCTAACAGCACCTTTATTCATTCTTATTCCTTTAACCTGCAATCCTTTAATCTGACAATGTCGTCACCTTAAAAGAAGGGTGGTGTTGGGCATTAATTGCTTGTGCTAAAGGCAATTTGCCTTTGTGTGTGATCAAGAAACAAGCAGTTTGTGAAACTATAAAACTATCAACTTGAGACAGTTTTTGGAAGCTAAAGCAAAGCCAAGGATCAACCCTACCAGCAGGAACAATATTCTGGTTGCTGTCTGCTAGGGGCTGCCTAGTTCCAAATGTCTATCAATCAATACAATAAATCATATTTTTACCTCCTGCATAGTAGTAAGCAGTGTGGCTCCAATTCAGGGGCTCATATCCATTTTATGGATGGTGCTTAATCAAGAAATAAGATTTCTGTCCTGCTTATGGASTGGGTCCCAAGTAACCTTGTCTTGAAGAAAAAGCCGTATTCAAAGTGGAGTGTGGAGCTGCCAAGAGGGACTCTGATTTGGGCTGCTTCAGGCATTCTGCTTTCCCATTGTGCTAGAGAGCAAGTAGCTCTCTGCAAAATCACTCCTAATTTTTTTGGACTAGATGCTTAAAACTTAAATCTGTTTAATTTCCATTATTGTTTCACCAGGCTGGTCATGATCTTTCCTTACAGCTGGAGGCTGTTACCTGCGTTTCAACCACAGCTGTTCATTTGTTTCCTCTATTTATCACAGAGGTAATAAGGGGCCTTAGAGGGCCTCTATGTCCAGTACCAAGAACAGCATGATATTGTCAGAAGCCACGAATTCAGCCCTTGCCCTTTCACAGTCATAGCAGAAATTCTTTCCAATCTTACTGCTTCAGGGATTACAATCTTGATAACCCATGTTCCAGAAATCCCTGGAACTTGGAAGCTTTGTTGTTGTTTCCCTGGTGCAGGGAAATGTTGTCTTTCTGAGCCTGGAAAAATCGAGCCCTGTTTTCTCCACTTTGTTGGGAAACTGACCCCTTCCATTTAGCAGCACTTTTGCCCAAATATAAGCATTTGCTGGAATCCTGCAAGTTAGGTGTTTTTCTATGCTTGGCYTTGCTCCCCCAGCCATCCTTGTTCCAGCCTTCTTGTTCTAATGCATCTCCTGCTCTGTCTTCTGCCTTCCATCTACCTTGGTTGTTTGCTGCTAAATTTCCCTTGCGTCATCTGCAGCTTCCTGGATCCACCTTACTTTGGTTTTCTGCTCTAAACATGTCAGATGCAAAAGTTTACAAGCTTAAGTTTATATTCTCATGAAAAAATACAAACTATGCTGTATCTTCAGGAAGAGATAAGCTTACTATTGTACTTGGATTCCTGCTGGCTAAAAACTGTTCAGAAACAACTAGTAATCTTTAAATATTAAGATGAGCAGGAGGTTGCAGCAAATGACCTTYTGAGATTTGTTCCCACTGAAATGATTGTGTCATAAGTATGGTATTGATATCAATGTTGCCTCTGTTCATCAAAATATAGTATGAACCTCCCTTTTATTAGACTGCCTGCCTAGGAAGCTAAACTTGAGCGAGTTTGGAAATGTGTATGTTGTATAGCAGTTATCACATGCTGATTCTTTCTGTAGTCTCCCATCTTTCATATAACGCTTGCTCAGAGCTTCTAGGCAGTTAGTCTGGCAACCTGAGCTAAATGTGCTGAGGGACCTGGACTTCGGTGCAGCTCCTGCTTAGTGGGTTCATGCAAGGGCTGCTGTGCTTCAGTTCCTCATGTGGACACCTGGGCTGTGACTTGTCACAGAAAATGTTAGTAATGTCAATCAGGAGCAAGCTGAGGAAGGAGATAAATAAGAATGTAAACATTATTAYTTGCTCTTATAATAAGAGGAAGCATTCCATGTACTGATTTAAATGTTCCCTTAAGGAGGATCCTGTTTAGGATCAGATAGCTAATGTGTACAAAGCTGTAGTGTGTGTCACAAGAGGGCAGTGTTAGAATACAGAACAATCTCACTGTTTGCAATGTTTGAGACTAAAATGGTTAGTTTGAAAGAGAGATGTTTAATATAGTTGCTTTGAAGAGCTTGACTGGAGCAGGCTTCTTTATTTTTGTTAGTTCTGTTGCACTGCAGCAGTGAAATACGCTTGCTGCTCCTGACTGTGGCAGTAATTAAACTTGGTATCAAAATGGGAGAGTGCAATTCTCAGAGATGTGACAGGGTCACCCCTCCTGAGCATCCTGCGTGGCGGCTCGTCTGCTCGCTGCTAAAGCTGTGTGAAGCTGTCTGGCTGCTCAGCAGCCAAGAAGAGGCAGAAAAAGGTTTATTGGTTATGTTAAAAATGCCATACTAGGAACTACRAGGATTTTGTGAAGTTTTTGGTCTTGCCTCAACTTGTAATGAACACCCTGATAAATATTGTGCTTAACTTGCACACAGATTTAGAAAGTACCTTTCAAAATAAACAGGAACTGCAGCTTGTTTTGAGTATACCAGAAGAATGTCCTTAYTCCTACTCATACACAGACTCCAAGTTTACTTTTTATTTGGCATTGTCATCTGCACATTATTAGAAAAGATGTGTGTAGTAGTATAAATTCCTTTTGAAGATGACCCAAATTTGGTAATGACTTCAAAATATTTTGAAGTCAAAACTGCTCCAAACCTGCTAAAATGAGGAAACAAAGCATCAACCTCCTTATAAATTCAAAATATTCAATACRTGCAAGTTTCAAAGAAATGTCCAAGTATTTCCCTCCTCCAGTTCCCATTTCCTTTGCTTCCCCCATAGACACCAGGTTCTTCTCCCCACCTCTCCCCTTTGCATTTGTTCCTTGTTTTTAATTAATAGGATTTCTCACAGGAGAATGTATTCCTTGTGCTAACGAGGCTGGCAGAAATTGGACAAGGGGGGAAATATCCTCCTCTTTTCCCCTCTTCTGTGGTTAAGTAATGGGTGTCCCTGTGCCTGCTCTTCACCCAGTGTGCAAACTCTGTACACCAAGCTGGAAAATGGGAAGTGTCCGGGGAGGAGCATCCATGATGTGTCCCGAGATGGCAGGGGAGGGACTAGGGCAGAGCCTGAAGTTTCCTTCTCCTCCCTTCCCCCGAGGGCTCTTACAAACGCAGGGATGCTGTAGATTGATGGGGGGGTTAGCAGCGCTCSCCGCATGCAGCTCACCAGCCCCTGAAACCAAATACACAACCAGCCTATGATTTGAACACTACCTACCATTTAATAGTGTGCTCAGAGGACAGATAGCAGTGGAAACAATCACATCCTTTTACCTCATTCTTTTTTTCTTTTTTTTTTTTTTAAAAAGAAGTCTTTAATGCTGCTTTTAAATAGCGGTGCCAATTCTAGTTGTTTGCCAGCGGCTGGAACCCCCTGCTGCCGCTGGGATTGCGGAGGGGAGCGGAGAGCGGCTCCGCAGCCGGCAGCGATGCCGCYGGAGCGGCGTGGAGCAGCGGGAGGCCCTGCCGAGGAAGGTTAACAGGCATAATAGGGAACACGCTCCYGATTCCCCAGCGACCGGCGGTGTATAAACAGGGAGCAGCGAGAAAATGGGCCTCTGAAGTCCTGAGGAAGCCAGATGGGCTGCTCCCTATCTGGCTGTGAGGAAACCACGTCTCTGTGTGGAGAAGTGATGGCTGAGGGGAAGGCTGAAAGAGCCTTCCCTCTATAGGAGCCTGGGCTTGGCTTTAATGAACGTGCAGCCTGACATCCCACAAGGTTAATTTATTTCTGAGGTTGAACAGCTGCCCCATCAAAAGCTCTCCTAGAAAGTGGTTCCTTAACTAGCAGCTTATTCTAGTATGTTTTTAAAAATATATTTTTGAGGGATTGCAAGAGATCAAATAAGATGGTGGTGAAAGGAAGTGGGAAAGAAATAAAGATGTAAATAGAGCTTGCGATGCACTTAATGGAAACACTTCTTTTTTTGCCAGGCTGTGAATTTATTTATTCAGCCTCAAATCAAGGACTCTTCTCTGAATGTATCAAAGCTGAAGATAAAATATTGGATGTTTGGTCATCAAAATTTGAATGAACAATAGACGTTTTCGTTGTAGCGCCTCTGAGTACAGCTGTGAATGTAGTAACACACATAGCATTTCTGCTCCAGAAGCTAAGCTTGTTTTGCTGGAAGCCCTGGTGCATGGCCAGGAGAGTAGGCTCTTTGTGGAGATGTCTGTTCCTTTGGGGCTCATTTACAACTTTTTTCTTTCAAATAGTGCCTGTTCATTCAGTGTTCCTTGAAAACTTATTTCTGACAACTACTAAATTCTTCTAGATCTTTTCCAAGATGTAATTGATTTTATTTTCCTGAACAGATGACTTTATATGGTAATATCCATGCAAAAGCAATTTGCCACGGTTCAGGGAACTGAACTATTACGGACATTTGTCTTTGTAATGCAATTATAGAGCTACTAACTTGATCTTAATAACATTTGCCTATTACCACTTACTAGATGCATGAAAGGAAAACAATGCAATTTTAAGCAGAGAATGATGCTGAACTGTGCTTGTGCATCTCCTTGTTTATCAGCCATGAGCAAGGAATGGATGAGATAACAATTTTCTGCATATATTTTGGTAGTCATTTCAGGAGTCTTACGTGTTGCATGTTACAGGAGTCTTACTCAATTCCATTTTTAATGTGCAATTAAAATTAGTTAGTGTCTTTTTGTGCATGTATGGGCATACTCTGCCCATCTATCACTTTTGTAGTAAACTGCAGTTTGTATCTATTTAAATCTCTAATGCTGTGGCTGTTTTTTCTAATTACTCAAAAGAAGTCAATTAAGACCAAACCTAGATTTAAGCATGTAGTTAAAGATTTTGCTTCAGCAAGTTACTTGGTTATTAGTACTCCTTTTTTCTATTTTTTTAATATATGACTTGTGTGAAATTGTGTGTGTGTGTATGTGTATATATTTTTAATCTAGTACTTAATGGGTAGACCTTCATTAACAGCTGACAGGTTTACTGGCACTTTCAACAGAAAGGCCRCGAGTCAGTTAATATTTAGGTGTGTGGTGTGCCCAGACCTTGCGTGACAGGCACAAATGCTACAAACACAGGAGGATATCGTGTGTGTAAGTGTTTGCCCAGGAAACAGCAGTCAAATTTCCTCTCTGATGAGGGCAGCATGTATAGGGCAGAAATTCATATTCCAAGACTGCCTTTCTGATGCTAGTTCTTCTCTGATCACTTGTGAGATTTCTGACCTATCTCCTCCCAAAGGTTAGATCATTTTGGGTTTCATTTTGTTTTTCTTTTATTTAGAAAACTATTGAAGAAACTGAAGGCTATACTGTGACCAACTGTGATATAAGCACCCTTAACCCTGTGAATTTCAGACCTCAGTCCCCTGAAATATTTAACTTGTCCTTTTACTTTTAATTCAAAGGATGCTGTGACAATATGCACTTTGGGAATAGGAACTGCTTTTGGAGAGTCCATTCTGGATAACACTCCTCGCCATGCTACCATCGTTACTAGAGAATATAGTGAGCTCCTTCGAATTGAGCAGAAGGACTTTAAAGCCCTTTGGGAGGTAAATTGAGATTTCTTTCTACGATTACACACTTCTGTGTTTCTTTCTTGCAGGCATTGCTGATTTTTAATTTTCCCAACTTAACTCAGCATTCACATATTCTATAGTAAAACAAAATGGATAGACCTTCTTTATGTTTTTTATATATATTTTTTAAACTGTTTGCTTTCTACTCGCTAAAATTGTGAAGTGTTTTTGTGATGGAATTTATTTGTATACTGCAGTCACCGCTTTATCAGCTTAAAACTTGCTTCTGTTGCCTGCGTTTACAAGGAGAGTCTATCCCTACAGCACTCTGGTCTTCTAAATTACTCTCCTTCACTCCTATCATCCCCAGCTGCAGAAAATTACTCTCCTTCACTCCTATCATCTCCAGCTGCAGAAATTTTAGAATTGGAAGATGGATCAAGATCTCTTTAATTTTAAAAAAGTCCCATGAAACTCTCTCTGGAGAACATGCTGCTGAGTTTCTTGATCCTGTCATCTGAGTGTACTTTGGTATCCATGCTGAAGAGGCTTCATTAWCACCTTGCTGTGCTACATGCTTGGACTTTAAGCAGTGTGTGTGGGTGGTTTTTTTTTTTTCTTTTAGTGTCATGTGGTGTAAAAAGTGTCCTGGGAACTGGAAGGCATCATGCCAGCCTGGTTGGCACCAGTGTCAACTTGTACTGRCAGGCTGGTTTAAATGGAGACTGTACAAGCTTAAGTGTACAACTGTCAGGTGGTGGGACAGTGTCCTAAACTTGAAGATCTGGTGACACTAGCTACACCTTTTTTTAAAGTTGCAGCATCTTGGATCAGCTTTTTGCAAGCAAGACAGGGCAGTTATTTTCAGCTTTCAAAGAAAAAGCAGTGTTGTGGCCTAAAAAATTGTCCCAAAGCACTAGTAAAGCAAGGCTTTCAGGCAAGAATATCAAACCTGCAGCTAGCTGCACTGACTAGAATCCTCTGCCACCACCTGTYTGCAAATATGTTGCCCCAGGCATAGTCAATCCTATAACATGACTAAGGTAAGAGGCTGAATGCTCTGATAGTATCTTATTTTATTCTGACGAAGCTGTATTTTGTACCAGATTTCAATGTCTTGAGCTCACAAAGTATTAACGAAGTCTTGTAGCAAATGTGAAGCAGTTTATAATATCTTTTTTTCTGCAGTCATGCTTGTTTTTCCTCTCTGGGAGCTGCATTATAGTTTTCCTCCCTGATGTTCCAAGATTAAGCATGCACATGCTCTGGTGTGGTTTTAAAGTATGCTRCATTTGCCAGAAACTTGTAAAGGAGATGATGATTTACAAGCTCATTGTAGGAAAATAAATCCAAGGTTTCCCAAATAAAAAACTTTGCCTTTTAAATACCCTTTAATTGCTAAGAGCTGGATCATCTCATGTTATGACTGTTAAATTGCTAGTATCTGAGGAGTATCTAGGGAAAGGGGATATAGATGCCCTTCCATACATTTTTTTTTTAAATATTGTTGTTTTAAGAGTGTTGCAACCCTTTCTAATGGCTATAATAATGTTTATAAAAATACTGAGTTTTTTAGATGCTATTAAAGACTCTGCTGTTATGTGCTAGGAGCAGGCACAGAGCTTCAGTGCATAGCCTGTAAAATTGCATCAAGCCTGAAGTACACAGCAGATAGTTCTGGAGATGCTGCAGGTGTCAGTCACAGACCACAGCTGAGCTTTGTGACCTGCTTGCTTTTTGTGCTGTTTCCCATTTGGTGGGTGGTTTTTTTTTTGTGAATTTTGTTGTGGTTTCATTCAGTGAGACAGTCCTTATGATTTTACTAAGAATGCAGGTTTTAGTACCTTGAATATCTTTGCTGGGTTGTCATAGTTGGAAAGAAGTTTTTACTTCTTGTCAAACCAATATTTGGCCTGTTGAAATCTTCTTATCTCAAAACGAACATAAATTGCAGCTAAGATAAAGATCTCAAAAAGATGTGAACTTATTTATTACCATTCTCAGAAATATGTTAGTAGTTAATAGTGTAGTGTGTATTTTTCCATAAGGAAATATTCTTTCTTCATGGAGATTTCTTTCTATGTTACAAGATGTGCATTCAGTCTCTTTTCTTTGTTCATTTGTTGTTGCTTTAACAAAAACCATACAGGCAAATGCATATTGATATAGTCTTTTTTAGATTGTTTTTAATGAAAATTCAGAGTCAAGAAAAGAGTGCAGGGTTTGTTGGTGGTACCACGGGGAAAAAGAAGGGAAGGCAGCAAAGCTGGTGGCACTGTAAGCCAGATACAGTGGAAACTTAGCCCTAAATCTAGTGTATACAATTTTAAACTCTCCAGATAACAGGAATTTAATTCTATAAAAGTAGTCTCTCTATAAGGAAAATGTTGAGTAGCTTGAAAATAATGTACCGCTGTAGTTTAAGGACATCATAAATATAACTACAGACTTGGGAATCTTAGAGTGGTTGCTCTTTTTATGCAAGTAGGATGTTTAAGAATTCAGGAAAGTGCATTAAATATTTGATTAAGTATACTTTTTGTTCCATAAAGTTTAGTTTTATCTGAAGGGAAAGAACAAACAAAAAGCAATCACTTAGCCAACTTCAGATTTGACTTACTGTGATAGTAGAAAGAAAGGCAAGCCTGGAAATTCTGATCTTGTGTGCCAAGGAGACGATGAAGCCTGCCCAGGCTCACAAGTGGCTCAACGCTGGTCCCTGCTGAGGAAGCTGGAAGGGGCTCTGGGCTTTGCTGGGGTCCTGCCTGGGCYCCGGCTGCATCGAGGGCAGGGCTAGAGATGCTAACAGCTTTGGGGGAGAAGTTGCTCATCGTTTCTGCAATGCAGTAGCCTTCCATGGAGCTTTATGGATAGGAAAGCACCATGGAAGCTGCTCTTTATGCTCATATGAACTTGGTTTCCTTTAGCATCACTAAGTTAATGCGGTGCTAGCTACAGTGCTTGGAAAACTGTTTCAAAGAACAGAAGGAAATATATACAAAAATAAACCTGAAAGCAGAGACTAAACATCAGGAGCTCTGGTCCCCAGTATCCTGTTGGGTCACCAGCTTGCTCCACCCYGCAGGTGGTTGGGTTCTGTGGAGCAGTGGAGGAGTGAAAGGAACGTAACTGAGCAGTGTTGTCCCTACAGAAGCTCTCAGCAGTTCATCCTCAAGCTTTGTCCTTTCGTTGCCGTTGCAAACTGATTACAACCCCGACAGGAAGGGAGTGAATCTGCTGAGAGGTGACTTATTTTTAGAGCTTTTTCCTACCACAGTGAATTACTCAGCCTTCCTTGGATAACATACAAATAACCAGTTTCCTTTTGTGTGGAATAAGATTGGTAGAAGTTTCTGAACATGTGTCAAGAAACGCTTAATCTTGACAAAGTGGAGAACAGCTATTACTTCAGTATGCAGTARCTTTGGAGAGAGGAAGACTTGGACCCCACAAGGTTAGAATGAATATTTTAATTCTTTCTGTTCACATTCAGCAGCAGTTACACATGTGGTAGCCTGGCGAACAATAGTAACTTGCTTCCTGCTTGTGCTTGTCTGATATTCCCAGCCTTAAACAGACCTCATTGCTTTGAAATCCTAACTTTGGGAGAAGCGATTGTTCTTACTGTCTTTTTTTCTGAACAACAGAAATGCTAGCTTTTGAGCTAATTTAAACAAATTGTTTGTCAATACAGAAATCCTATGTTATATATTTCTTATAGAAATCTGAATATTATTTGAAAAATATACATATAAAATGCTACATTGACCTGAATGTTGTAGTAGGGCTCGTTAAGGCTTTTGGTTATGGCTTTTGCCCATCAGTTGAGGCCATATGTTTTTGGGGMATGTGCAGATATATCAGTTCACTTTTTTAACATCTTTCTGAATCTGATGCCTTATCTGAGCAGATATGTTGATTATGTCAGTAGGAATTACAAAGGTACTTCAGAAATGAATGGATGAAAATTTACATATTAGGATTTTCCTTTATTTTGCCTGCTTGGCTATGCTTTTGATTATTGAAGTAGAAGTATATCACTAAATTACCTACAGGTGATTTGGAGTGTAACATAGTAGGCAGCATCTTCCCCTCAGACTACTAAAAAATGTTAAATGTTGTTATTGGAAGGCATTTTTTTGCATGCAACGTGTGAGGAGTACTGAATATCTGGAGTGTCAGCAATCTGTAACGTACCTCTTCACCAATGAGCACTGCAGACCAGAATCTCTGTCCAGTTCATTTGAGAGAGCAAATTTGATCTGGGAAATGAAATCAAACAATGAATGGGAGTCTGATCAGGCCACCTAAATGGTAAGGTTGATTTATGGTGTATAACTCTGTCAGTAATCAGTTGCAGAAGACTTTGCCATGATTTACTGATTTCCTGTAGGTAAGCCTAGTAGAGAGTAAAATTATAGTTAACAGAGTGAAGAATACTTAGCTTTATGGCCTGGATGATCCTGTGGCTTTAAATTAGTGAAGTGCTTGGAGTTCCCAAAAATATAAAACTGTGGTCGTGGAACATGGAAGCTGTCTGCATTTGCTTAATGTCACACTCTCCATGACTGCTCAAACTCTGTCTTGACAATTCATCTCTTTAATGGGATTTTACTTGATAAATGTGAGGTTGATCAAATTATTGTAGCCTGCCTTGGGAACCTAGCTGGARTACTCTGTTTGCTAACCTGTCAAATATAAGTTATTAGAATAAGGGAGAGATATTCCATATTGTAAGATCTAAAATAGAGCACAGAAGGAGGATGTGGAAGGGTCTAGGTATCTACCATTTGCTGCATTGTGCTGTTTGGAAATCTGCAGCTGATGACAAATTCAGATTTGTATGCTAAGAAACAGTGAGAAATGCTGAAAAATAATGGCTGGCCAGCAGGAGATTGCCAYGCACGTGTACCTCCAACTATCACATGGAAGGAGAAGCTTAGTCCTCTTCCCCTTTCCTCCCTTCTGCTTTAGAATATGACAGTAAACACTGATTTGGCAAGATGTGAGGGAAGCTTTCAAGTAACTAGCAT